CTATTATAGTGGTCGGCATAACCACACCATACATTGTTTTGAATTACATCAAACACAAGAGAGAAAGAATGAAATAACAGTAAACATACTTCATTTTATTTTTCTTATAATTTAATATTATCAAGTGAATAACAAGGAAATTACAATTAATTAAACCAATGGCCTTTTCTCTTCGTTTTCAACTTCAATTTCTGATGAAGTCTTCTCTTCTTGATCAACAGGAGACGGGTTTTCAGTTCTGCCGTTGTTGGACGTGGGTAAGGTGGGGAGCCTTTTGTAGGGATTGGTTTTCTCCGCCGGTAAAAGCTTCAATGTGATTCCCATGGCAATTAACAGAAGCCCTGTTCCGTGCTGCTCCGTTAATGGCTTAGTAAATATCAAATATGATAACAATAACGTCACCGCCTTCCTCGCCGTTGTTACCTGTTGCAAAAAATTCAGAACAATGAAATCCGAAATTTTGTTTATTAATTTTATTTCACATAAACATTACAGCAAGTTTCATTAATGATTCTGTACCATGGCAGTGGTGGCCGCCCCGAAAATAGCAACGAGGGAGAGAACGGAAACTTGGCCGACGAAGGTGGCCAAGGCTTCGAAGACTAAAACGCAGTAAACGTATAAATGCTGGTTGAACCAAAAAAGGGTATTTGTTAAAAGATGATGGGAACCATGTGGGGAAGATGAAAAGGTGAGGAATTTTGGGATCTATCTTTACCTGAGAACATGAAGTCCATGCTTTGAACAATTCCCCTGTTAAAAGCATGGGTGGGATTAAAAAGGGTAAACCCACAACGGTCGAGCAGAACAGCATCTCCATCTGTGAATGAAAATGGAAACAAGGAAAACATTACATGTGAGGTCACAAATTTTGCATGAATTTGACTGAGGACGGAGAATTGGTTACCTGTGTGGTTTCGGGATTCATGGTAAAGATGGCTTCTTGCAAGTTACCCAGAAAGGAATCCATGATCAGAGCGCCGGTGACCATGAGAACTCCGAGGACACTGAAGTTTGGGGAGGTCTGAGCGTCTGCTAAGGTGAAGAGGATCAAACCCACAACTAAAAGTAGGGCAGAAACGTATTCATGGGCTGGGTATTTCCTTCTCAATCCAGGAATGAAAGCTCCCATTACCATCACCGGCAGAACCTAAAACAGAGCAAAGAGAAAAAAAACAGGGGAAGAACAGAGCTCAAAAAAAAAAAAAATCCCTTAGTTCTTAGTCAGTGTGAAGTAATTAATTACCTTGGTGGATTTGAACATGAGCTGAGCTGGGTAATTGAGAAAAGCCAGAGAGCCTTTGGTGAGGCC